TCCTGCTCACAAAAAATAAAAATATATTTAAAAAGTAGTATAGTATAACCTCCTGAATACGGCAGGCTTGGGACCGAGCACCTGCTGGAAATGTGAAAATTCTGGATTTTTGAAACTGGAGCAGTAGGAGGTCCCAGAGCAGCGGCTGCACATGGAGCGATGGCACGGGGTGGCGGATGGCAGTGGCGTGCAAGCTTCCCTCTCCGCTGTTCCAGGACTGGCCACCGCTACTCCCTGACAGAGTGTATTTTTAAAAAGTGCTGGATTTTTGATAATTCCAGATTTATGAGGTTATACTATAGTAAGAATCTCTTTCCTAACTGGTATCTGACATTATGTAATTTGGCTATGAAGACCTAGAAAAAACACCGTTTACAAACTATTTCCTGACCTCTCCCTCATTTTATATACATTTTACTGACCATACTGACTGTGATACTGAGGCCCCCCCCCAGGGTTACAATTAAGACATGGTTAACCTGTTAATTGCATCATAAACAGTAACACTGCCATACATTCAAGGAATTAACAGCATGACAAAAAGAGAAACCAGTCATAAAAATATTCCACAAAAGATAAGTAACTTTTTTGTGGCTGGTTTCCATCATGCCTTAAACTGAACATGTGTCAGGGTAATCAGAGCTGGTTCGACTCTTGTGCAGTCCTGGGGCTGGGACCCACAATCAACTGAATCAGGGTCTTGAACCAGCCCCAGTGTGATCCTGGGGCTGGAAACCCATGCTTCCCCTGCACTGGCAAGCAGTAATAGCTCCAATGGGATCTTAACCCTGATCCCAAAATTGTATACCCTGCCATGCATGTGTGGCATGGGCAGAGGTGTGATTGTTGTTATTGGGGAAATTAGTTCTCCCTTGTGCCATTAAATGAACAAGAGGAGAAACAAAGGACATTTACATGCCTGGTTTTGTTATACATGTAACATATACACATATACACATATACATAAAATCCAGTAAATGATGATATGGCAATGAACACCAGTGGGTAGACAGACAAGAAGGCTAATACTGATGAGAACTGTAGGGAAGTAGGTAAAATGAAAGCACTATGTAACCCAGAAAGGGTATTGGCTGTTGTCACTAATAAACAGCTAAAATTTTTATACCCTAACCCTGGGGAACAGAATAGAGGAAACTGAACTACTAGGAGAAAAAATAAAAATCTATGGAAATCTTGTAGAACAGCAATGACAACTAGAATACAAGTATTAAGGAGTATGCACTGTTCAGGAAAACAGAGATATAAGGTAAACGTGATGGGCTAGTATTGTACAGTAATTATATTAAATGCTGCAAAAAAGTTGCAATGGGATGATATGGATTTAACAAATTATTTGGGGCAAAATTAGTTTGGGAAAGTTAGTAAAAGTTAGTTACCAAGACAGTGTGGACAAGTTAGCCACCAGGCTCAAACATACAATACCCAGTTGGACCCTAGATTGCAAGCAAGGTAAGGGAATTGCAGTAAACAACTCCTGACCCAGTTGGATGAATAACCACCTTCAAAGAAAGTATATTAGGGGTAAGCAAAGAACCCACAGAGAATTGGGGAGGGAAGGGGGGAAATGATAGGTTAGCAAAGGAAACTGTGTCCATCAATATTAACTCCTACTTCCTTATCTCAACTGGAAATTCCTCTCCTAACATACGCTATATGAGGATGCACCTTTTTTACAGATATATATATGAGTGGGTTTCAACTTCACGATGGCTTGTAGTACAATACTGACAAAATACAAACATGAAGAATGGAACAGCAGGGCAAAGTCTATAAAGAGGCTTTGGAAAGTACAGAACAATAATTCCCAATACCTTTTCTTCAACACTTTCCCTTACAACCAACAAAAGAAATCCCTGTACCAACCTTTTAAAATTCTAAAGGGAAATGGGGACCCAAGATGGAAATATGACTAATACTCTAATTATCACTAGCAGGAGCCAAAACAGAGGGAAAAGAGCATTTATGATCAGGATTCTCTTAAGACAGTGGTTGTCAACCTTTTTATCCCCCCAAGCACTGGACTCAAGACACCCCTCACAGGACTCAAGACTTTGTGAATCACATGGTATCTTATTTCAAAAACAAATTTATATATTACAATGCTTATCTCCTTACGGACAGACTGTCATGTCAGGATTGGGGAACCAGCCAGGTATGGACAAGCCTGAGCCTGCACTTATTTACTGATCTCACACTTGTGGCACCCTTCAAAGAATCTGATGGCACCCCAGGGTGGTGTAGCACCCTGGTTGAGGATCATTGCCTTAAGCGACTGTCACAGATTCACTCCAATACAAAGTTACTTCTGGGGGTTCACTGTATGGCATGCATGAATAGTCATCCAAATTAGGTGATGCTTAGTCTCTAACAGTAGCTAGTACAAAGCTGTGTTCAGTTTTATTGTTTTCATATCTGTATGTGTTACTGTACTGTATATAAATGTAATTTTGATGCACCTTTATATTAAAGGAAAGGCTGTTTTAGTAAGGCAGTCATTAACTTAAGTAGCCCTCAACTGTTCAGACTCATTGCCTCTTGGATAATTCGCATTTAACCTGGGTTGTCTACTGGTCTCCATGACAACATGCTCCAAGGCACAGGGAAGCCAAAATATGGCCAGGCAGCCATAACATGACATTTCAAAAGAAGAGCCAAAATAATGACACCTGGCCACTGAGGGGAGAGACATGGATACTGGATTTGCGAATCTGTACGTCTGAAAAGATGCAAGTATGCAGTCTGGTAAATGTGTACTTTGGGGGTCAAGAAGTTGCTGGCATAGTGTAAGCCCCCTTAGAAATGAAGGGGGCTTCATTTCTAAGGGGGCTTACAGTTACTGGCATAGTTACTGGCATAGTGTAAGCCCCCTTATATTAACGGCTAAATAGGCAAAAGTACTTAAGACTGCCTACAGAGTATGGCTTTGTCTTTAGTCTTTCCAGGTACAGGAGAGACTGGAATCCTAGCCTAAGGATAGCAAACTAAGAAAAAAAGGTGACAGCGAGATGCAGAAGTTATAGAGCAGGGGTGGGCAAAATGCGGCCCGGGGGCTGGATGTAGCCCGCCAGGTCATTCTATCCGGCCCGCAGGGCCCCTAAAAAATTTAGAAAATTAATATTAATCTGCCTTGGGTTTTCTGTCATGCAGCCCTCGATGGCTTGCCAAAACTCAGTAAGTAGCCCTCTGCCCAAAATAACTGCCCACCCCTGCTTTAGAGGGTTAGAACCAGGGTCTGCATTTTGACCTGCTGAAGCTGAATAGGGACTGCATCCTTGGATTTAAGGCAGGGGCAGGCAATTATTTCGGGCAGAGGGCAATTTACTGAGTTTTGGCAAGCCATCGAGGGCCGCATGACAGGCAGCCAGGGGCACACAAATATTAATTTTCTAAATTTTGTAGTGGCCCCGGGGGCCGGATAGAATGGCCTGGTGGGTCGCATCCAGCCCGTGGGCTGCATTTTGCCCACCCCTGATAAAGTGTAGAGTAAGAACAGATTACTCTACACCAATGTTCCCTCTAAGGAGCAGTGGTCCGTAAGCACGCCGCCTTGGTCTGGCGTGGAACACTTACCAAGGGGGCTGAGGGCCGGACGCTGGAGGCCGGGGGCCGGACGCTGGAGCTGGGCACCGGGGGCTGAAGCCAGGGGCCGGTGGCTGGGGCCGGAGCCTGGTGCGGGCTCCACTGGCTCTGGGGAAGTGCTCCGATCCCCCGCATCAGGGCCAGGGAGTGGAGCACTTACTCACCTCGGGGAGGAGCCTCTGCCTGCTCCGAGTGAGGCTCCGCCGGCTCCGGGACACTGCGGGACATACCCCCGGAGACCATGTCAGGGAGCGGAGCAGTGTCCCGGAGCTGGTGGAGCCTCACTTGGGACAGGCAGCGACTCCTCCCCGAAGTGAGGCAAGGCAGGGATGGAGGCTGGGGCGGGCAGCTAGCCTGGGCTCCTGATGCGGGGGAGCAAAGCACTTCCCCAGAGCCGGCGGAGCCCGCGCCAGGCTCTAGCGCCAGGCTCTCCTGGTGCGCAGCCTTGAAAAGGCTGTCTGCGACCACACTTTTAGTTGTGCGTGGCTGCGCACGCGTGCACCTTAGAGGAACCTCTACACCTGGGTAAGTTCTGGAAAATGGTTAGGGGGCTAGGGCACATGACTTATGATGCGAGGCTGAGGGATCTGGACTTATTTAGTTTCCAGAAGAGAAGACTGAGGGGGGACTGGATAGCAGCCTTTAACTACCTGACGGGGGCTCCAAAGAGGATGGAGCTGGACTGTTCTCAGTGGTGGCAGATGACAGAACAAGGAGCAATGGTCTCATGATGCAGCAAGGGAAGTTTAGGTTGCACGTTAGGAAAAACTTCCTCAATTCAAGGGTAGTGAAGCACTGAAAGGGGTTATCTAAAGAGGAGGTAGAATCTCCATCCTTGGAGGTTTTTAAGGCCCAGCTTGACAAAGCCCTGGCTGGGATGATCTAGGTGGGGATGGTCCTGCTTTGAGCAGACAGTTGGACTAGATGACCTCCCAAGGTCCCTTTCAACCCTAATTTTCTATGATTTTCTTTTGTCTGCTTATTCTGATATCTTTGTCTGCATTTCAACATATGTCTACTGATTTTTTGTTTCTAATAAATCCTTTTGTTATCCCTTTTAACTCACTTGTCAATGATACCTGTAACCCCAGGATACCTGGCCAGCACAGACTTGTTCTTCCCACAGTAAGGGATATCCACCTTTTAGGGGTGACTGGGCATGGCCGTGGCCCTTCTTGCTGGCAAAATCTCCTCTGCTAAGGACAGGCAATGCCTGAGCAAGACAGGGAGGGCTGTCTTAAGCTACTGTCTTCACCAACTGGCCTGTGGTGCACCTCACCTGGTTCTCGATGGTTAAGCAG